CTTCACATTGTCGATGGTGTCCGACGACTCAACCTCAAGGGTGATGGTCTTGCCGGTGAGGGTCTTCACAAAGATCTGCATTTGTAAATACAAAGTAAACCCAGAGTAAGGAGCAGTTGAAAGGAAACATGCAAACATAAATAATACAGGTACAGAGAGAAATGAAATCCTAGCTACATATAAACGAAAATCTCAATATGAACCTAGTAAAAATCCCAATATATCAGCACAATCTTAAGCCTGGTGAGAAGGATATATACTCTAAATCCTAGCAAAATCTATGCTCAAAGTGGGACACAACAATCTGAACAGGTGCAACAGAAATAATAACATAAATTTCAGAGTAGAACCAAGGCAAACTGCACCATGAGAAAGCTAGTAGTAAACAAATCCAGAATCAAGAACCTAAAAGAACCCAGCATATAAACTTGGCAACAATCCTATAGAACCAACCTATCCAGCAAAACGTAACAGATTAAACTAGTAGCAAAACCTAGCAAAAGTTAACAAATCTATCAGCACAATCTTTGGCCTGCTGATAAGGCTATATAGTCTAACTCCCAGCAGATCTATCTGAAAAAGTGTATATGAATCAACAATAATAACACGAATTTCAGACTAGAACCGACAGGCAACTACAAGGGTGAACCATGAATAAGTAGGGTAAATAAATTCAGAATCTGGAGCCTAGCGGAATCAACCAGCTAGGCACACCTAGATGAAGCGAGCCAACAAAATCGATGCATAGGACTACGACACGCAACCAAACGAGCGAAACCAATCAACCAGCCACGCACGCCTGATAGGGTGGGCCGAATCGACACCAATCGGACAATCGACGAGTGATCGAATCGACAGCAATCGATCAACAAGCAATAGCGCAGATCTACTGCAGACGACGGCTGCAAAGTACGATTAGCAGAATAGAAATTACCTTGGGGAGGAGGACGAGAGAGCCCTGGCTTCGATCGGTCGGAGATTCTTCGGTGGGGATTGGGTCGGCTTTGCGGATAGGATTGGAGAGGGGGGTGGGGATTTTATTATCGAGGAGGCCGGGTCAGATGGGAAGGGAAGAGGAGTCCCGTGAGGATACGGCACCGGTGCCGAAGACGTGTGGCGTGGGGAGACCGATGGGATCTTTTTCTTCTGTTGATGAAGATTTTTATTTCCTTCTTTCGCCAAATCCCCCCTCCCCTTTTTTTTACCCTCGAACAAACATTTTACTTTCTCCTACATTTATTTCTGCGACAAGTAATTTAAGATGAAAGGGGTATTTACTTGCTCTCTCTCTTCCTCCCGCACAATATAGATTGGCACAATATCAGATTGGCAGCTACTCCCTCTGTCTAAAATTACAAGGAAGCTAGGCTGATTTTATAGGTAACGAGATTTAGGTAATTAAACGGAGAAGAGGCAAAATATATAGGGTCCCGGTAACGCCCACACGTGTGGGCATTAAGGGCATGTATAATGGTTCTATCTTAGCAATGCCACGTAGGATAAATGATGAGGTGGAGAAGAGAAAATTCATAAGAAAAGGCTTGTCTTCTTATAGCACAATATGTCTCACCATGTTTTTATGAATAGCTAGCTATTGAAGATAAGACTAAGAGATGACCCATTGTAGACATATTTTTTGTCATCTCTTAATTACATGCAAGACTTAAGATAAGACTATCTTATCAACCATTGTACATGCCCTAAGGGGTCTGGCCACACGTTTTGTGTGGTATCTAAAAAAAAACAGTCCACACGCCTACGTATGGGCAAAACAAGTAATGCCAACACACCTGGGTTTTTTGCCTCGTGATCCCTCTCACACGCCTACGTGTGGGCAAAATAAATAACGCCCACACGCCCGTACTCACTATCCCGCACGCTTCGCGTGACAGTCACCACGCGTCCCCGCAGTTGCCATGGTCCGGACCCTCTTCCATGTTCGTTTTAACTGCAGTTATCATGTTGCTGAACTACAATTGTCATGTCTGACAACTACAGTTTCATTGGTTGCTCAACTGCAGTTGCCATCTCAGGACAAGTGTCGGATGCCATTTTTGGACAACTGTAGTTGTTGTCATGTATGGTCTGGCCTACTACAGTTGCCATGAGAAAAATTTAGGAGTTGCCACCTACTAACACTAGGCAGTTGTAATGTATCACTACAAAAAGGGCATGGCAAAAAGACATGTTAGGGTAACGAGAGAATTGTCATCTGCTTACAAGCACGCTATGGCAGTTGCCATGTATCCTGCAAAAACACATGACAACTCGAGTAAGAAAAGAGTTGCCATCTGCTTACAAGCACGCTAAGGCAGTTGTCATGTACCCTGCAAAACACATGGCAACTGATAGCCTTGGGTGTGGGAGTGGAGACGGGCGTGTGGGCGAACCGATAAACGCCCACACACCAACCCCTCTGCATGCGTAAAAATTAGTGTGTGTGCGAACTGCTAAACGCCAACACACCCAACCCCTTTCGCGTGGTGAAATAGGCGTGTGGCGACCGGATGAATGCCCACACACCAGCCCAGTCCTACATGGCATAAAAAATCTAGCAAAACATGCCAAGATTCGTGCAAACAAAAACGGACGTTCATCCATGCATGTGGACGAGATGCAAACGCCCACACGTGTGGGCGTTAGTATTTTTGAATATATATTTTGAACTTCTTCTCTCTCCTTGTTGTCGATTCCCATCATACTAAGACAACCACGCACGAGACCGACATCAATGCCATGTCGGCGACAAGATGGGCAGCAACTCCGTCGTCGTTGGGACCCTCGTCGCTAACACCAACGGCATGGAGGGGCTGGCCATGGATTGATGTCTTTACGAGCTGAGAAAGATTGGAAGGAGAAATGGTGTGCTGGGCGTTCTTCACATAGGAGAAAATTGCATGGGAGAGGCAAGTGAGGTGGGTTCGTGGACAGAAAATGTTGAAGGACCCGGTAAAAAAATGTTGAAGGAGAGAGAGACGAGTGGGTGCTCGTGGTAGCTAACCGCACGAGAGGGTCGTCATCGTTTTTTTCTTTTTCCTCAAAACTAGCGGTCATCGGCAAAGGTCGTAATTGTGCACCTTATATTATGGAATTGCATGCGATTCCTAATACACCCCGTTAGAAGGGAGAGTCGTCTTTCCTAATAATCATGATACTCAACACACCCAATATATTGGGAAGGGGGAGTACCAAATACACCAAATTTGTTCGAGAAGCTCTTGGGGCTAAAATGGATAGACTGCTAGAGATGCTTTTATCTAAAGATTGTACACACTATTTCTTGAATCATTTACGACCATCTTCAACAAAACCCCTTCCGATAAAAAACTGGTTTAGGTGGAGTTGGATCAAAAAAAATCGTCCAACAAATTTTGTAAATGCGATTTTTGGGGACCTTATATAATCAGCCTAACTTTCTCTCCATCTGGGGGAAAATAGCTCTTCCCACAAACCTTCTCTAAAAATGTCACATTAGCACGCCACTATTATACCTGTCGCGCCGCGCCATAGCCACCGCCGGCTGCCGACCATCACCATCTAGTGTCCGTCATTGTCGCCGCTCCTCAACAATAAACCATTATATGGGGAGTTTTTAAGGGGACTTGTTGAAGATTCCCACATACAAATCTCCATAAAATACATCAACATCTCCATATAACCATCTAAAAGTATATATACATATCGTATAACAAATTTTGACGGAGGTTTTTAAGGGACCTGTTGAAGATGCTCTAAGGCCAACTCCAACGTGGCGACCCATTTCGTCCGGCCATATCTGTTTGGGTAGAAACGGACAAAAAACACGGCCTGCCAACGCAAAACGGGTGGGTGTCTATTTTTCTGTCCGTTGCAACCCATTTCCGGACCAAATTTGGGTCGGGTTTGCTCGACGCGAACGCGCGCCACACTCACCCTTGTCCTCCCATTGGTCCACCCATCGGTGGTACAACGAACTTTCTTTCCTTCCCCATTCACACTCGTTGATGTGGATCAAATCATGACCAATGCATCAAAGAGTGAGGTTTATGCTAGCACAAATATTAAAACATTATAGCAACCAAAGAACGACGTGGGCAAAACCATTATCTTAGTTGGGAAGCTTTGGGAGAAATGACCCATCAGATTTCTAGCTACAACTTCACACCTAAACTCAATTAATTCTAGAAGGGTCTAGCACGTGTTAGTGGCCAGATAAGATGGTGTTTGAAGTCATCTTTCATTAAAAAAAAAAGATGCATCATTTGAGGTCTTGAGTCAAAAATTGTGCAAGTTCCCGTGCAAGTTGTCCTGAAATTAATTACAGCGCGAGGCTCAACAAGTTTGCTCCTGCTACAACTTTGAGCTCACTAATTTACCCTTCATTTTGAGTTGTTTTCACACCTAACTAGCAGATGCTTCATCGGTGCTTCTAGTACAAGTACTCCCCAACTGTTCCATGTGAAGGAGGATGTGATTTCTGAGTTTATGTTTGCGGTCAGTCGGTGAGGTTGTGTAGTGTCGAGAGCACTAGTATCATTGAGTGTTAGCCTAAGGCACTGCATATACAGCATCTGAACTGAGTGAATAAACTGTATGCATCTATTACTCTATGGCAAAACGAAGACGAACAATAACCGTTGAACAGTGACCATTAGGCAGCAGGTCGTAACTGTCAAATCTGTGTGCTAAATGCTAAGCCATGGCATGATGATCCATCTTAAGAAAAGCGCTAATTATCAACAAAAGTCGAGGGGGATAAACATCCGTTTGATATGATCAGAACTAAAAGCATCCAACTGCTAATGGCCAACAGAAGTCACCGAAAAGAAAACAACGTCACTTGCGAAGAACAGGGCTAAACACACGGAATTAGTGCTGCACCGCTAACTGATCTATGAACAACAGATGAACATGAACTAACCCAAACCAATCCCAACTGTCCTCAGGCTAGCTAGTTTTTTTTTCTTTCTCTTCTTGTTTCTGTATGAATCGATCCACTGTCGCCCCCTTCTTTTCCCTGGTTAGCTCCCCATGATCCGCCTGATGGCAGCTCGCTGCGACGAGGATAGCCTCGCCGGGAAGGCCACGTCGAACCTGATCCTCAGGCTCCCCTTCTTCCCTGGCTCCTTTCGGATCGGCCACCCTTCATTCTCAATCACAATCTCCTGGCCAGGGCGCACCACTTCCTCCACCCTGACGGGAAGGCTCCTGCCATCAAGGGTCCTGAGGTTTATGGTCGTCCCGGCAAGAGCGTCCACCAGGGGGATCTCCTGGCTTACCAGGAGGTTGTTCCCTTCGAGAGTGTAGGTGTCATGGGGCTTCATGTCGATGACAAAGGTCAGGTCCTGCGGTAAATAGCCGGGCAGCGTGTCGCCTTTGTTGGGAAATGTCATCTTTGTTCCCTTTTTCCAGCCTGGCAACACCTCGACCTGCAAGATCTCTGTCTCAACTTCTACCTTTCTGCAGAAGATGACATGAAGAGGGACAATCAGATACGCAAGATACTGAACGCAACATCTCAAGCCAACAAAACTAAGAGGAAGAATTTCACTCAATTGGACTACAAGGGTAGATAAATAAAAGGTAACAGACTGGTTATCAGCCACCTGTGCTCATATTCAAAAATGATTTTAACATCAGTTATGCAAAGCACGTGTGCCTTTATCAACCACCTGGCTTCTCAATGTAAACAACATTCAGAATTCAGGCAAACAGTAGCCATGCCCTTGCTATCAAAATCCTTTATTTAACTTCCAACAATTCCACTTTGGATTTGTTGGAGGATTTAACTGGATATAAAAGGATTGTAAATTGTAAGGGTTGATAAATTCAGAAAAAAAATGCAACAAGAGTAAAATATGAAAAGGTGCTCTATATTCATAACTCCAGGTAAAACATGCTAAAATAGGCAAAAGAAGATGTTGAGCAACGATATTACAATCAGATAACACACATGAATTCATGTTAAGCTTTTGATGATCCACACTATAAAAATTTACTTGCAAAAATGGACTTGGCAATACGCAATGATAACGCAGTAGAGAATACAAACAACATTTTGAAACTTTAATTGCAAACATCATGTCAGTAGAGGCTCATACTCAAGCTTAATGTTCTCACATTAAACAGAAGCCCAACGAAACATGCATGTATATATGAGAAAAGTAGACACATACCCATCTGATTTTGCGACATTCCTAGTGATCTTCATCTTCCTTTTTGTTCCATTATACAGCTCTTCGAGAGTGCAAAGTAATGTCTTCTCCACAGGCGGTGGCTTTTCCAGATGGCTTGTACTGGTACCAGGCTCCTTCTGTGAACTGGAAGAAGCTTCACTTCGACCATTCACTGCTGAGGTCCGGTGTGGTGGTTGAAAGCGCCTTCGGTCTTGACCAAAGGTGTATGGCTTGTTGCTCGCCATGAACTCATTAAAGATATCATCTGGATCACTAGGATTGTAACGGAAATTACTTGGACCACTTGAGCCAGAAGCTGTGGCGGTCCGGCTTTGCGAACCAGGTGGAGGCATACCCTTTAAACCTTCTTCACCGTATTGGTCATAAATTGCACGCTTTTCTGGATCACTTAGTACCTGGCAAAATTCAGACAAAATTGCTGAGAGAAGGGCAAATAAGTAAAACAACTCCTG